TGGGGGACAGTTTTCGCGCGTCTTTGTTGTCAATCCCGCCGATTCGTCGTCGGATTTAGAAGACAATGCTGACAGTAGCGGAATTGATTGCGACGATTCTTACGACAAAAAGTCTGATAGTTTAGAAATAATCGGTTTGGAAGGTGTGCAGGATGTAAATCACTTAGAAGCAGACTTAAACGAAAATGTGCCGCAGATCAGTGAAGCGAGTAATATTGTTTTAGTAGAATCCATAAGTTTTTCCAAGAAACATTCCGACATTCCCTATGGCAATGATAGTGACGAGGAAAGTGATGATGACGCCGAGAACCGGCCCAATTTTATAAAATTTTGTGACGACAATATGCTTCGAAGTGAAACGTGTGAAAAATTCAACAGTTTTAATGCCAGCTCCAGCACTAATATAGATAATTGTGATTACAAGAATTGCGATAATAATCAAAGTATAAGTACCGTATCAGAAAACTTGGAGTGCGATTCGTTGGATAATAGTTTTAATTCTGACAATAGTATAAAAGTAAAAGTTACGGTGAAGTTACAAGACGAAGTATGCGACAACAAAACTTATGAAATTCAAAGCAAGTCTCCTGTCGCTTCGTCGTCCTCGGAGCTCCAACCTGATGAATCAAAATCGGAGAGTGAAGAAAAAATAGACCTGTTTAAAGGAATTGAACGAACTCTCAGTGAACTATTGAAGAAAGAATTATTGGAGGAGCAAGGGGAGGAGAAAACACACGGCGCGCGACCGGCGCGCGGTGACACGGAGGGGAGCGCGGGCGCACCTGTACTTGCGCCAGTATGCCGCTCGCGCTCGCCCGATGCGGACGGGTCCGCGCGCTTCACTAGCCGCGTTATGATAACGCACGATCGAGTCTCCGTAGTCACGTCAGATACGACGCGGCTCATGCGGGACATTACTGTGCACCACACTAACTCCCAAAACGAACTGGAACACGACGCAAGCGCAACAACCTCGCAAAACGATACAAACGAACGAGTTTCTGACGACGAATCTGCGCAGCCTTCGGGCGGAGTGACTGTTGTTAGCAACGCGGACACTCTCTCGGCGGTTGTGTGTCTCGAGGAGGGGCTGGCAGACGACGACTCGTGGGTCGAGGACGTCAGCCATGACGAAGACGCTACCACTACTTCGGACAGCGATTCCGGCGACGAAGCCTCACTTCCGACCCGGGGAGACGATTTTGCCTACTGCAGACGTTCTTTAGACTTCACTTTACACACGATCGTTGAAGAAAGCTGTGAGGAAAGCGAAGCGGAAAATAATACGAAGAAATCTCGACCCATATCAGCCACTGAACTAGAAAAATATTTTTTCTTCGGTCTCGGTGACGGAAGAAACGTTCGCGAAGATGATGACCAAGTTTCGGAAACGTCTAGTGTATGTAGTGAAGGTGGTGAATCAATTGTGGACAGTGAACAGCCGAAACGGAGTAACGACAATGACGAACTCGTGTCGTCACGTTTGGAAAAATATTTCTTATCAGGCTTCATGGGCTTCAATCAAGAGAGACGCGATTCGGACGGGTCCGGCAGTGTCGGTAGTGATAGTGAGGGTAAACAAAGCCCAGAGCAGCGGCGTAAACGGCTAGTGCGCGCTCGCGGAACGCCTCGGTCCCATTCTTCTTCCTTGGATAACTTGCTGACGGGTGACGAACCTTCTCAAGATGCGCAGGAAGTGTCGGATGGATCTAGTACTGAAACAGAAGATAGACATGAGTCTCTCGAAAGGTTGGATATGCCAGGAGAGTCAAAAAGAAAAAAGCAAAGCAAAAAAACTAGAGGATCACCCGGAGACGAAAGGCGACAGTCGATGGAATTTTCAGAAGAAACTCGTGACGACACGAGGTCTGTTTCGGAGGGCGAGGATGGCAGGTCCACGCCTCGGCCCGAATTCCCACCGCTAGGATCTGAATTATCTGAATCTAAAAAACAAACTAGTAGAGATAGCGGTTTCGTAGGCAGCTGCGACGATCTTCTCAGGAGTGGCGACTCGAGCGCCGAATTTTCCCGATCTCATGAGCCTAAAACAGAGTTGGAAGAAATTGTTGAAGAGATGAGACCCGATTTAGATGAACGCGTCGAACGCCCACCGACCTCTCGTCCACCACCGAGTCCTTTGACGCGTAAAGATAGTTTTAACAATTGGTCATCCGACGAAGAAACGAATCTTATGATGACAAAAATGAGACAATTCTTTAAGCAAATGATAAATTCAGGAAACGTTAGGACTTCTACCCCTGCCTCGACAAACTCCGAGAGCTCAAAGCCTCCGAAACCACCGCAACTTTTATATTTTGAAACCGAACTGACTAGATTAATGAAAACGGTTCCCGGTATTCGCGATGAAGAGGTTCGCGAAATAGTGGAATATTTATCAAGTGAAGACACGTGGAGCGATTCCTACGACTCGTCCGACTACGCGGGATCTGACTTGGAGGGCACGTCGGCTAACAGGTCCGCATTAAGAAAACAAATATCGGACAGCTGTCGGGAAATAATCGACGAGTTCGATCGTGGTAACGACGCTGGTTCGCTGGAGCGTGACGCGGTTGGGGCGTACCAGAAGTTGGCGGCAACGTTGGGCCGCGCTGGGGAAGGGTCGCCACCCTTGTTTGGGAAAGTTATGCGACATATAGGTGGGCGGCTGGTGGCATTAATGCATGAAGTGTCGGGCGGTGCGTCCCCGAGCACGGATGATGACAGCGCGTCAGAGCCGGGCGCGTTGGCAAGGAGTCGATCTCACGATATTCTGGAAGCGACGGCGAGCAGGGGAAGCGTGGCAAGTGACTGTGAACGATTTTCATGGCGGGGCAGTTTCGAATCTGCTTTGTTGGCCGCTGATTCCCGAGGTACTTTAGGGGGGCCTAGTTGTGAGGCACGAAGATCACCGGCCGGGGCGGACTTGGCTGCACAAAAGTCACATTCTAGAAGTTGCGGCGCCATCGCGGGTAGCGAGGACAGGCTGTGGCGCGGCAGACGGCGGGCTTCTGCCCCCGACGCTGAGGTGAGAAAATATTTAATGGTGGTAATTTTAAATGTAGACACAAAATTGTTTCCAACAAGTATATTCCCCCAGGTAAGTGATGTTATACAAACCTCAAAGCCATAAACAATATATCGTAAAACTACAATAAGCTAGAACATCGCAGACAGTTGCGCATACAAATAGTGAGTATTAAATGTATAACGTAATGTGTTACCTAATGTGTATTTCACTTTACAACTTCATACAAATAGTTTGATCAAATTATTATCAGTCAATGTCATATTTTATTGAGTACATTTAGTCACACATTCATATCTGCATTATATTTTATCATTTGCCTACAGTCTGAAGAAGAGGAGCGTGCGGGTTCACTGCCGCGATTACCTTCCATCACGGGCACGAACACAGTGCCAGCGGGGCCAGTGAAGTCGGCGAGGTATAGGGCGCCCGGTTTCCGCAGCGCGACTCGTGCGGCCTCCGCGCCCGGCTTACACCTGCCCAGGAGACGCAGACCGGCGCCGACGCCGCACCAACCAACGCCGGCCGCACCTGCCTCAGCACCAAGTCTACAGGGTAAGTCACTCTTGTTATATTGCTATGCTTACTGTGTATAGTGAAAACTTTGTAAGAATCTATATAGCGGGTTTCATTTAACATACTATCAGTCATGTTAAAGTTGTCTACTGGTATTAGCCCTTGAGGTTATCTATTAGGAAATATTGTCCGTGCCATATAAATTCCGCATTGTAGGAAGTTGCGTGAAAATGTGAATTTTTAATGCAGCTTTCAAATGCCATACAACAAGATGGTATTTTAGGAATACACTGAATTATTTTACTTACATAAATTATCTTTCTAATACCGAATGATAAGGAAATAAACTGACTTAATAACAAGATTAAAAATAGCTATGTTATTAAGCCATGTTTCAATTTGTAGTTTAAACCGTAACTGTACATCTTAATGCACATTTTATAGCAAATGCTACTCTTACGACAGGATTAATTTATGTGTTTACTAAAAGCAGGAAGTTTTCTACCGGTAAAACGGTTTCAAGATATTTTTTAATTGCATCGTTCACCTCCGTGACTAATCGGTTGTTAGTATTACTGTATTTAAATTCAAGAGATAAATAAAAGAAAGATATTAACATATTGAACGAACTATCAAGACCTTGCTGTTGTGGAGCGGACTCAGCTGTGACAAATTTATTTGAACAATGGGTTATTCAAGGTTAATTGGATTTCTCAGTACTAACAACAACCAAAGATAATTTAACATCCGATTTACCAATTGGTTTTTATTTCGCCTCTTCTTAGTTAACTTTTATATTCAGTGATGGACCTCATACTAGTTCCAATTATGTTTTACGAGCTTTTGCCTGCGATTCTGTCGATTAGATTAAAAAAAAAAACAAAATCGAGTCGCCTATGTGTTCTTTTAGACTATCCTGTACACCTATGGCAATTTTTATCGAGATCTGATAGCAGTTTAGGCAACAAATTCTAACAAACATCCATCCATCCATCTAAACTTTCGCATTTATAACATTAGTAAGATAAAGTTTACGTCCAAATAGATTAACCAAGATTATAGATTAATCTTTCGCTGTGAATGGTAAGAATTCGTTCGTCAATCGCGTATGATTTGAAATTTGATCTAAGGCTATGTTAACTCAACCGATTACTCAACCTCCCAGTATACCCACGTCCTAAGAAAGGACACTTCTTTTAAAGTCTTTGCTCCATTTATCATGTTCATTGCTTTTTACATTTGTTTACTATACAAGCGACAATATTTTTTTAAATACTTGAACAGAAATGTACACGTCATATGTTCGGAATTCAGTATTCGCCTTGTACGACAAAACTTAATATGATCGACGTGTCGATGAAACGGGGACACGACCAATACTGTACAGCGATGTACTTACAAATACCCAAAACAAATCCAATGAATTGTAAAAAGCATATGATTCAAACAAATGAATTATAACTCAGCTAAGAAGAATTCTATTATATCAGTTTGTTATCAATCATTTGAAAGAATTATATGTTTTTTTCTCTTCAAACTTTTGTTTTCAAATACAACTGTTGTATTAATAACTTTGGTAATTATATAATGATGATTTATAACAACATGGGTATTCTTAACATTAACAATTTCTATGTCAATTAGTTAACACATTGGTATACAATAGGTAAACGATTGCCCGACTGGCAAACGGGTTATATGCGAAACACACGTATTATATTTTTTGGCGAGTGACGTCTCAAAGAGTTACAAATCGGGTTTATTTATATTTTTATTACCAAATATGCAATGTTATGCTACTGTACTTTAAAAATTAAACATAATCTACTGTTTATTAAACATTCTAACAAAAGATATCATAACTCCTAACTCATCTAAATCTCATTCTCTGAGTTACGTTTTCTTTCCGAAACGCATGGCTCATTAATTTGATTAACAAAGGTTCATCTAGCGGCGCGACTTGCGATCGACTTGACCACAAAAGTGGGGCTAACTGTTTCCGATACTGAGTTACTCTTTGTTCTCGCCTACATTCCTTTGCAAACTCACCGGCTTTAATGTTCCGTGTTTACAATACAACGTATCGATTTCTTATTCTTTTCACTTATAACCAATTCGTAATTTCACCTTGTTTTGATCACATCCGCGAATTGCAATGAGGTTGCATATATCTTTATTGTAATATACTCTGTGTTCAAAATGTCCTTAGCCTTGATTGTATTTCTACTATTTTTTTACTTATTTGTACTGAATAATATAATATACTAGCTGTTGCTCGAGACTTTGTCCGCATGAAATTAAAAAAAAATAAAAAACGTAATTTATGTTACTCACTGATAATGTTGGTTTTCAATGATGAAAGAATTTTTGAAATCAGCCAAGTAGATAAGTTTTTTTCTATACATACAAAAATACAAATCTTTATAGTATAAAAAATAATAGAATATTCCAAATTGAAAAAAATATTGTTTAGGAATTTACAAATTTTAGCGATATAATGTCCTATGCTTCCAAGGTTTACTCGTAGTTCGTAATATTTTCTTTAATTCATGAAGTTTTTTGTGTCATTGTCAATTGTACTAAATGACTCAGTTCGTGTTAACTACGTTTCTTAATTAACACAAACCTCTTTATTGTTAATTGTACAATGAACCTTGAAAATTATAATCATTTATTTATCATGAAGTACATGTCTGATAACAGTTATCAATACAATGGTATTGTCACAACAGATATTTTTTTTAAAAAATATATAGTTTTATAGTATTGTACGTGTTTTAAAACTGTCTCCTTAAACCGTTTATCGTATTTTTGACCGACTTCCCAAAAGAAGGTGGTACACAATTAGTCTGTATGTTTTTTTGTTTTTTTTTTGTATGATATTAAACTTTTTTCCCAAAGAATACTGCCGTTTGTTAAACTATTTTGAGTTTATGATTTCATAGGCATTTTTAGTAACTTAAAACTTCATGTTACATTTTAAATTCATTGCAATTTAGATGAATTCTTGTGTCCTTACAAAACTACCCCCGTTAGTGTTCCTAACTAATTTTCATTATTGTTCACCTTACGTTACGAAGGCATTTAAAAGAATTTTAAAATGAAAAAAAATATTTAAATTTTTGATTAGAAAGTTGTTTTATAACTTCCACTTGTGTAGCAAGAACTTAATAAAAATGTTAATTGTAAACTTTCTTGATTAAAATCGACATAAATTCGAATGTTAATATTGTATTTGCAGTCTTTAAAATAATTTTAAATCCTAGACGAATTTTAAGTCTCTATTTCGTAAGAGAAGTTACGTGGGTAAAAGGAACGGGTCGATACTATTTATCGGATTATACGTAACACCTTTCAAAAGATCAATTCAAACCAGTTCTGTGATAATATTTCGATTAATCAGATGTAACCGATGCTCTAAATATACATTACGCGTCTAAAGCATTACAGTATTTTATAATCTTTTAACAAATGCTTTAACATACATGATACAATTTTTGTTCAAGCTTGTCAACCAAAAGTAACAAGAAGTGTACACGAGTGATATCTTAAAATTGCAACTGAACAAAATTTGTATACTGCAAAATTTTAATCGCGAATAGTTTTGATAAATTATAAAAAAAATTAACCTATTCTAATTTCCACGTATTTTATAAAAAAATGGAATTAAAAAAAGTACATCCATCAAAACGTACAAACTTTCGCGTTGATAATAGTAAGAATGTTCTTTAGATTTGTACTAACGATACATAATTGAAGAGCTAACCACTGATCATTCAAGTGCGAATTAAATTTAATTAAAACAAACAGTTCCCTTCATACGTGCAGATATTGCCCATAATCTGTTCGTACATTACGTCATCTAGACGTAAATGGACGGTTAATTTTAAAAACGGTTTTAAACTAGAGTTTCTAGACCAAGTGACCCGTGTGAATACTAGATTGCATCGATCACACATGTTTTTACATTATAACGAGGCCTTGATTAATAGTAATTTAACAACTATACTTAATTTAGAGTCTGTCAACAATTTTAAAGATATATAGCCAACGATATAAACAACGATTTTAAAGATTCTCATAAAGGTAATATTGTTTTAAATTAAGATAAGGAATTTAAGCAACTTTCTGATGCGATGACGTTTTTCTTTCGTCGCTCAGTACGTGGTCAGAATTGTAATTAAAAATTTTCATTAAAACCGGTATCGATTGATCGCATTTCGCTGTTACGACACTAAGTACCCGGATACTGCCAATTCGATATTAAATTCCATGCTAATTGTATTTTCGTAGTGCTAATTCATAAATTATAACCAATTTTTTTTTAGTGGAAAACATTTTAAAAATGACATATTTTCCTATCAGTAACAGAACCGTATATGAAAGTAAATCAAATAGAAATGACCTCATTCTCAATATCCAGGTTATCAAACCACAACAACTCCAAATAAAGTCATGACATTTAGTGCACCGAAATAATGAATGATCAATATTCGTTACGCATCTAATTTTTTAATTAACCGAACTGAATTCTAATAGGTGGGCCTTACTTTGTATCAGTTGTGTCAGCAAACATAAGCTTTATGCTCTAAAATAATATACCTGGTAAATAACATGTCTATGTCCAACCTTTTATGTTATACTAGTTGTTGCTGACTTCGACTGCGCGAAATTAAAAAAAAGCAATGTAACCTATATTACTCACTGATAACGTAGCTTTTTAAAGGTGAAAGAATTTATGAAATCGGTCCTGTAGTTTTTGAGCTATTTCAATACATATAAATGTACAAATCTTTCCTCTTTATTTAAGAACAGACCAACATACTTAAAGTAGAATAATCTACTATAAGTTACTAAAATCAGTTTCTTTTGATTTCGTATAAAATGTAATCAATCCAATGAAAATTTAAACAAATAACTAGATTTTATCATTGGCTTTCCGATTGGGGAAAGTTTAAAATATAACAAGTAAATTATCTGATGGAATTCACTACAGTCGAATGATTGGGTGTGGTCTGGGCCCCACTTCAGATATCCGG